GGGCCCCCGGTAGAACGGGCCCCGGGCCCCGGGTGGACGCCGGACCCCTGGGTGAATGGGGCCCGGCCCCCGGGAGAACGGGGCCCGGCCCCCGGATGGATGGGGCCCGGGCCCCCTGGTGGACGGGCCCCGGAGCCCCGGGTGGACGGGGCCCGGAGCCCCAGGTGGACGTGGCCCGGGCCCCCGTGTGGATAGGGCCCGGGCCCCTGGTTGAATGGGGCCCACTAGGGTGACCCGCTTGCTCCGCAAAGCGAATAAGGGGTATTTTCGATCGGTGGGCGTTTGATTGGTCTTGTGTCCGTGGGTGATGTATCCATTTCGGTTGATTGCTTTTTGACGGCTAAGCATTTTGTATTGGGAAAAAATATCCATTGCATCGAGGTGCTCGTGTCTGATAAGCATGCGTTCTTCTATAGAACATGTCATGTGAAGTTTATAACAACGGTTGACGTAGGTTATTGAAAAATGACAGCCATCGATGAATTACTATGTAGAGGTTTCCAACATTTATATTTTTAAGAATACTGTTGCTCGTCATGCAAAAGCGATGATTGGATTTTGGACAAAATTGAATGCTCTTTCCAACTATGCCATTTTCAACAAACCCGTGTAATTAAGTAAGTCATTAACAAATACCATTCTCTCCAGCGATTTGTTCCACCTTGTTTTTGATCGATTAGCTTTTCACAATTTTTCCATGAGAGGCGGTACATTTCTTTTGCCAACAGGCGTTGTTTGAACCCGCTCCGTCAAACAGTCACCCGAAAATAGCATTAAGCCCCAAATCTGTCCGAAACGTAAATTTCCCAGCATAAGTGCCCTCACGGGTGCACGTGGCGCGTGCCATCCCTGCACCGCACACCATTCGATATCCCTTTCGATTCTCTACACGATACCCCGTGGCGATTGGGCCCACGGTTACCGAGATACTGTACGGGGACCGGACCAGTGTCTGGTAAATTTAGTCATTTTCGCCCGATTTTGCAAGGCGATTTATACATACATGTAAAGTCCATAACGCGAATTTGCACTTTTTGAGCACGCGTCATGTGCTCGCTATCAATCCGATCGAGCTGAGACCCTCAAAGGCACGTTGCCCACCCTTAATCTATAAGTTGCGCAAATTTCAGCGCACTTGGCGCAACGGTCGGGCCTGTACCCCGCGCTAAGTAACACCATGCCGGGACCTCGATAGCAGACAGAATCTACGTCACCTTATCACCACGCCACAACAAAACCCGGCCCATGGCAATACATGTCCCATATGAGCGCGTTAACCCTCGCCGGCACAGGCCATTCCGGCCATTTTGCGTCCTTCGACGGCACAAGAGGGGGGGGGGGGGTACGACCCCTTCGTGTTTGGCCCATGATCGAGCTAGAGCTTCGCGGGAAATACGAGCGTGTTCCTCGTGACGAGAGGAAGCCGACGATACCCAATTTTAAGGTTCTTGGTCATTGGTTGACCTTCCAGGTCAGGTCAATGACCGAAAAATCGGGAAAATCGGGACCTGTTAGAACGTCGTTAATTGTGGCTGCTATAGGGTTTTTCGGGGTACTGATCATGAATAGTTATCATGTTAGTTTTGATCACAGATGATGTCTTTATGCATTTAAGCCAGGTCGGGTCAGGTCAGGTCAGGTCAACCAGTAGGGGTCCTGCCGGGTATTCGTAGTACCTACGTGCCAGCCGCCTCTGGCAGCTTCGTAACATGTTACGAAGGCACCAAAACTACTTCGTAAATGTTCAAATGGTTGCTAAATTCGGATTCAGCTCCAAAAACTAGCCTGGAAACATGTATAATTCGAAAAAAGTACCGATGTCATCATAGGTCAATGACCTGACCTGACCTTCAGGTGACCTTGACATCCACCCTAATGCAGCATCAACTCACATGTTTGAATGCTTGAAACCACGAAAAGACTGCAAACGCGCGGCTAATGCGAGCCGGCATACGCCGAATCACGATTCTGGCCAAACATGGTCTCGGAAAGTAGGTCACAGGTCAAAGGCCATTTGGGTCAGGGTCATAAAATTTCTAGGGTAGGTGTAAAACTGATCAACGCGAGGGTACTGAAAGTTTGGTCGCGATCGGCCGATTTTTACCCGAGTTATTCGCGAAAAACCTTAGGGGGGGAGGTTGCATCATCCCCTCCCCCTGTGCCGGCGAGGGTTAAACTGCTTGTGAGCGAATTCACGTACCTAATGAAGAAGAATAAAGCACAATCTACTACAGCAGCCAATAGATGACTGAGTTAGGACAGGCACGTGGGACTGCCTAAATCTTGTCCGACAGAAGCAGACAACAGTTCCGTTTGCATATATGCTATGCATATTGCGGAAGGGGCACATTTCGGCCTCGAAAGATACGAATTCATACGTCATAGTAACATATTTCTGTCATGGTCAATTCACGTGGAAATTGAACACCGGGTGATTACCGAGCTATTCTTCTATCAAAATTTTTCGATTCAAACTCGCTCAGGGTTATCATGCAGGTAAAGGGGGCCCGCTCAGCAGAATGCGTATGAAATATGGAAAGATTCTGAAAAATGGGTGGGGGGCCCGCACACTAGGGGGCCCGCTTTGGAGGCGATGACCCCCCGAAACGAAATCCTGGCTGCGCCACTGATGGTATCGGCATAGACTTCTCTATAGTCTATGGTAACGGCGGTCGAGTATGGTAGTTAAAGACGTTAGTTATTTTAGCCGTTATTGGAGGAGGCAGTGGTATAGGAACAGCGGTGGTAGTGGTATGGAAGCAACGTATAGCCGTAGACTGTAGAGGTATTGGTTACTTGCAGTAGAATAGAATAAAGAAAAACTCTGTTCATACTTTTTTACACATTCTTTAGGGGAGACCCGGGAGGTATGGGCCGGTTTTGTGAAAAGGCAATTTTCCTCCAGTGGGCAGTGGCTAGACCCGGTTTTTCACTCTGTGTACGTACTACGTGAAATTGCCTTTCGCTTGCAACGTGTGCCTGATATTAGGCATCGGGGATCAACTATTTTGTCTCGAAATAACTTTCAATACATCATGTGCTTTTTCGATCCATCAAAATACACCGGGAGGTATGGGCCATGGCTCGGGAGGTATGGGCCGGCGCCATGTTTCATATTCTTTTCTCGATAATGAGAACAATACTCGTTGCTGTTATCTACCTTGATCTCTCTTAGAGCCCAGGGACCGCATAAGCGGCCAACAGCTTACTTCATGAAGGTCACTTGCGCACATATGTATTTTGGTTAACTCAATCATGCACCATGAAATAAGATCAATAATATTTTTTATGTTCGAATGAAATTTGAAACTAAATTTTCGACCTTGCGCGACAAAACTAAAACCTATTGACTGGGACATTCAATGAAAACATGTTTTTATTTATTTACGAGTAGGATCAACGGGGTGGGTGGCCCGAACCTCCCGGTTAGGACGCCAGAATGTGCGTAGCATCTCAGCTCATAATCTTGCTAGAAAGCTTCAAATTGTCTATCCAGTCATAATTTCCATACTTTAAACTTGATGTTAGCGATGGTCTGACATCATAAAACGAGCCTGGTTCAAATTTATCATGAATTTTCTGTATGTACCGTATTTAACTCGAAGAGGGCAAAAACGGTTTATCACCGCTCATTGCCAAAGAAGATTGAGGAAGATTTTGAAAATCACGTGGGTTGTATAATGGAATGGCTGCTACCAGTTAACGCCGTCAAATGTGTAAAAACACGCAACACTTCTTCAAAACTGCGATGGCCCATACCTCCAGGGGGCCCATACCTCCCGGGTCTCCCCTATATAGTGTGTTAATATGAGGCTCAATTGTTTGCCATTGGGTTCATCAACCTTTTGCCCATAAGTGATTTCAGCCAATCAATGATAGCCGTTTTCACGACGGGCTATCCGGCGAATGCACCTGATTTGACCAAATCTGCACCTAATTTCTTTTACTGCAAATATCTTTATTTTATTTTATGAATTAATTTCAGTGTTTTAATCGATGATGCTCTCTGATAATATGACAAAGCAGGCATATAAGCAATTAGTGCAACCCTAGCTGATAGCTGCTAAGAGATACACTGAACCTGATTTGACCAAATCTGCACCTAATCTGTACCAGATGTGCACCAAATGTGTACCGGATGGCCGTCGTGAAAACGGCTATAGAGGACTTCTATGGCCACATTAAGAACGATCCGGAAATAGCCATTTGTTCCTGAGTACTTGAGCATTATTGCATCAGCAGCTTTTCACGGGTGATATGTCGCTCATAATATTGCGCGTGACGTCATGGTGGCATAAACACATCAATTTGACTCGGTTGACACGATGCTCATAAGCGTGTTTTATGGCCACTCAGCTTCACTGCTATAGAAATTTACATTGCAGCGACGATGAAACAATGCCAATATTTCGCTGCGCAGTAGTCCGCTCCATGCTCTAGCCAATGCAGAAGATAAATTATACTAGAATGTAATATCATGCCACCCTTTCGCATATTATTACAGGCCTTGTTTCAGCGGAAGGTAAGCAGGAAAATTGTCGTGCCAAATAATGAACAGAGCTTCATGAAAAGCATATTGTGCGTAAAAGTGGTCTTCAAAGTAAACTTCAATATCTACCCATCCCTTTCAGACAACTAGTTTTTTAGTAGTTCACACTTCAACTTCACAAACTTGAGATTTTGCCTTCCCCAGCAGGCGTCTTTTGTTGGTATTGCCAACTATTGTTATATTTCAACGCAAGTATTCTTGTTCAGTTTGCAAAGAAGTCACATGCTTCATGAGTCTCTCTGGCCATCCCCTCAGAATTCAGCTGCACAATCGGACAGCAGGAAATGCGCCAATCGGGCTGGGGCCGGCTTGTCGTCAGTCGGACTGGAGTGAGTATACAGTCCGCAACGTCCGGGACAAGACAGCAACAGCTGCAAGGCTCACTTATCGGGTCAGGAAGCTGCTGGGTGATAGCAACGTCCAGCAAGCGTGACTCATAGCTAGTGCCTTGTACTGTCTTTGTGGGAACGGGTAGTGCAGAAAACTGATTCAGCATTGCTCCAGAACTACCCTGGCTGCTGGTGAGAGTGGTACGCAGAGCAACGCTGGGCCTCGAGAACACATCGCGGTGCCGCAAGAACTGGGAGAGAGCTGGTATTGAAAAGGCTGAGACATTTGGAGCGCTGAGCACTGCCAATGTTCGGTGAGACCTTGGAAGAGGAGCATGATCCGTGAATAAGCCGGCGCGGGAGGTTGGTCTATTTGGCAGCAGACTTAGCAAGAAGAAGAGCGTTTTTACAGTGACTAAAATCGCACTTGAGGACTTCACAACCTACCTCACGAACTAAGTCTCTGAGCTGCGAACTGATCGCGTTTTCGGCCAAACGTGACAAAAATGACATCACCCACAATCGGCATTGACCTGGGCACCACCTACTCGTGTGTGGCGGTGTTTCAGCACGGCAAGGTGGAGATAATTGCCAACGACGAAGGAGCTCTGACCACACCGAGCTGTGTGGCGTTCACGGACACCGAGAGAATCATCGGAGAGGTTGCTGTCAGTCAGGCGGTGCGAAACCCCGAAAACACTGTGTTTGACGTGAAGCGAATGATGGGTCGCCCATTTTCGGACCCGACAGTGCAGGAGGAGATGAAGAACTGGCCGTTCGCTGTCGTCAACGATCGCGGAAACCCTGCCATCAAGGTGGAGTACAAGGGTGAGCGACGTCAGTTCTCGCCCGAGGAGATTAGCTCGATGATACTCGGGAAAATGAAGGAGACGGCCGAGGCTTACCTGGGTGAACCGATCACCGATGCCGTGGTCACTGTTCCGGCCTACTTCAACAACCGCCAGCGATCGGCCACCATGGATGCCGGTAAGATCGCCGGACTGAAAATCAAGCGCATCATCAACGAGCCGACGGCAGCCGCGCTCGCTTACGGCCTCGACAAAAACCTTAACGGCGAGAAAACGATTTTGGTGTTCGACCTTGGAGGAGGGACGTTCGACGTGTCCATTTTAAAGATCTCCAGCGGACCCAGGTTTCAAGTTCTGTCCACTGCCGGTGAAACTCACCTCGGTGGCCAGGACTTCGACAACAGGCTGGTGAAGTACTTTGCAGATGAGTTCAAGAAGCAGCACAAGAAAGACCTCACGGAAAGTCGTCGAGCGATGCGGAAGTTGAAGGCTGCCTCTGAACAGGCAAAGCGAACCCTGTCCAGCTCCTCGCAAGCACGCGTCGACATCGACTCACTTTACCGAGGCATCCACTTCAGCTGTTCAATCTCCAGGTCCCGCTTCGAGAAGATGTGCGGTGAACTATTTCGCCGAACGTTAGACTCTGTGGAACAAGCGCTGAGTGACGCGACGCTGAAGAAATCCTCCATCGATGACGTAGTCATGGTTGGTGGCTCAACACGCATACCGAAAGTGCAGCAGCTGCTGGAGGACTTCTTTGACGGAAAACGGGTGAGCAAGGACATCAACCCGGACGAGGCTGTGGCGTGTGGCGCAGCACTTCAGGGGGCCATTCTTGGAAACGACGCGAGCAAGTTGGATTTGATTGGCAGCGTAACCCTCCAAGACGTCATTCCCCTGTCCCTTGGCATAGAAGTCAATGGATTTTCCATGATGAAGATGCTAGAGCGCAACACTGAAATTCCCGCGTGCCGCAGCGAGCAGTTTTCATTTGGCAGTGACAATCAGACATCAGCCCAAGTCAAGGTACTAGAAGGCGAACGAGTGATGACCTCTGACAACAACGTCATCGGTGAGTTCTTGATCAGTGGACTCGTGGAGAGACCACGTGGCGAACCTGGTATCAAGGTGACGTTTGATGTGAATGCTGATGGCATCCTCCGCGTCAGCGCCGTCGACACCAAGAAGAGTGACAATGTGATGCACATCACAATCGCCGAGAGTAACGGACGGCTCAGCGCAGCGGAAGTCGACAGAATGATGAAAGAAGCGGAACAATTTCGTGAAGAGGATGACGCCTTGCGGAAACGTGTCAACGTCCGGAATGAGCTGGAAGGCTATGTGATCATGGGCCTCCGTACGGTGGACCAAGCAGGGGATGACGCCTCAGAGGAAGACAAGAAGACGGCACGTAGCATTTGCAACGAGGTTTTGGAGTGGCTGGAGAAAAACAGGCTGGCCGAACTCGATGAACTGACGTACTGGCTGCAGTCCACCAAGGAGAAACTGTCACCCTTGCTGCAGAAACTCAATAGTGGAGACGGGAGTCGTCAGTACACCCCCAGTGCCGGCTCCATGCACTAAAGGATGGTCAATCCTCGGGCCTCGGCGTACTGACGTCCCAACGCTGCGGACTTTTCCCAGGAAGGCAAGGAACTCAAAAAGTCAGCAGACGAAACGAAGGAAGTCAGGAAGTCAGGGGGCGAAACGAATCCTGACGATGAAGGTGCGAAATGTGAATGAAGATGTGCGACGATGGTCGCGGCGAGGGTGAGCCAGGAGTTTGACGGCTTGGACACGCATGCTCGTCGTTCTGGAGATGCGCGGCTGGACAGCTGCGGTGCAGTGGTGCCCGAATCGGATTGACCTAGAGACTCAGGTGATGAGGTCGATCAGGCTCGCCTTGTGCCACGATGTCTACCGCGTAGTTGGGATGCTAGATGAAACAAACAAATTGAATTGCTGTAATGCTTAGTGCTTACGTCTTGCAAAACTAAATGGATTTGATGTGTTTGGGACCAACGTAAGCATCAGGGTAAGGTGAGCTTGTGTGTGTGTGTGTACTTTCTCCTGTCTAATAAGATACTTGTGCATATACCTTTTAGCAAACTGAGTTAAATCATCACATTATTGCGAACTTGAACGAAAAATTGACGTTTTGCTGTAAATAAATGCTTTGTGGAAAATCAAACGTATGTGAGCAGCGGAAATGGTATAAAAGCCGGGCTGTGTAGGCGAGGTACTTTTCGATCGTCGCCCAGCCCCCAGGCGATTTGGTAAAGTAACGGATTAGTATTGTAACCCCCTTTTTACTAACGTGTTTTCACTCGCCGAATCTTGTCATTCTGCATCCTTCGCCGGCACATAATAAGATCGGACGCGACCTCCATAGTCGTGGTTCGTTCTTCATTTATCGCGAGGTTTAAGGGAAACAACAAGCTTGTGGCTCCCCACGATAGAAACCTATTGGTGCTCGACTTTCAGGTCTAGGGGAGAGTGGGGCAAAGCGGCCACCCGGGGCAAAGCGGCCACCCATCGTTTTAGCCCTTCATAGCTGGCGTCAGTTCCAATTTATGGTTTCCAATTATACTTCTCTTCACGGTCATTCGAATGAGCCAGACCGGGGTTTCAGGCCCATCACCATTGTTCTGTGAAACACGGAAAAGCATTTCTTGCCAGGTTACTAACTATATTTACAATTTTTAAATGTTATGTTATTCCATAACCGTTTGGAATTTTTATAAGCGTTCTTGTCCATGCATTGCATGGTTATCGTACATGTATTCTACCAATTTTAATGTTTTTTTACCCCACTAATAGCTAAGCTGGAATATTTTTGTCTCGGACGGTATGCGCGGGGCAAAGTGGCCGGGGCAAAGTGGCCACCCCCCAATTGGCCATAAGTTGCTTCCATCTGGATAAAAAACATTATTTATATTCAAATGTGTCGTCATGCATTCATCTTGGTCACTTTTCATCTGCATGATTTACCAAATAATGGAATTAAATGTTTATTTTCATGAAAATCCTTTCTTTGTTTACCTACAGGTGGAAGATGATAAAGTAAACATCCATCCTCGCTTAACCTTGTCACCATCAAATACCCTAGTCGTACACGAGGCAGCTATTTTGTTTCTCATATCAGTACTTGAGAAGACGCCGGTGGCCGCTTTGCCCCAGTGTATGGGGCAAAGTGGCCAATATGCATAGGTTTAAAGTTTTGTCAATATCTTTCATATGTGAACGCCTTTGGAAATAAAACGCAGTTGAAATAAAAGGCAACTTAATAGGGATCACATTGGTATAGAAAGAATCTTTCCAAGTTTAAAAATCAAGCGTTGGCATCGTGAGAAGCGTTAGGGTGGCCGCTTTGCCCCACTCTCCCCTACTTGTGGTCACATAGCTCGGTGACCGAACGACTCTGCCTCGATATCGTATGTCGTCCGGGTGCGTGTGACGTCATGTCTCAAAATATTTATGCGTCATATAAAGAACAGTGACAATCTGCCACCTCCGTGGACAAGTCAGGCAGGAAATATACCGTTCTAGTGACTTGAAATGTGCGTGGATGACACATTATTACAGGCTATGATAAGAGATGACTCAAGGGATGGCAAATACCTACTCCACCAACTGGCACCGTGATTCGCTCATGCAGTTTCCTCACACTTGACAGGGTGTAGAAAAGGGACCACAATTTTACTCTATTAATTTTGGGAATGCTCGACCACATAACCTATATATCGGATTGCACCTATCATTTGGAGGAAAATGACATCAAAAACTTTATTTTCGACACTAACCGTAGCGGTCAGAGGAGCTTGTGAGATCAGTTTTGGGCTAATAGCGCCCTCTTACGCGTAGGTAACGCCGGCCGTGTTTGATCGAGTAGATGGCGCTATACACCGTCCAAAATGACTCCGTGCACTTCTGGGCTCAGGGCCCAGTTCATCTAGAGCCCATTTGCTGATAAGTGACACTTATTGGAAAGGGCGACCCACAGATGGGTTCATATAGCTACCCTTACACACCTACACCAATGTTCCCAATAGTGTCCCTTTGATAAGTGGCACTTTGACAAAGTGAAACTTGCCGACTGGCTTTTCTATATGAACTGGACCTAGTTCATACAACCCTTCGGTTAAACAAAGCCCGTTGGCTAGAGTGTGCCAAAGTAAGCAGTTACTCGAGGAGACTCTTTTGCTAACGTTAATGAGGTGTGTAAGGGTGGCTTTTTGAACTCAGCTGTCGAGTAGCCCTTTCCAGGAAGTGTCACTAGCTAAAAAGAAATGCGACAGGAGACGTTAAATGTGCATCCGAAATTTATAAGGGTAGGTTTTTAGATGGCCTTCTCTGTTGTCCCCATCAGGATAAAAAATTATTTCGTGCATACTGTGTATTTCAAAGTTCAAACAATGTTTGAATTCCAAGCATTATATGAATCACCCTCCTGTTATTATCTATAAATTCATAGAATCAACAGCATCTGGAAACCTTAATAGCCCTTACTGCTTAGCCCAAGCCAACCAAATTCTGGAAACAACTGATGATCTGCGAGTAGGCCATGCTAAAAGTGACATTCATCGCCTCTAGCTTGCGCAACACTCAATCAATCATCATTTCCGACACTAAAAGTACGCACATGAAAACTGAATGTGACTTTAAAGGCTGAAACAGACTCTTTCCGCGTTCAGGAAATCGCATGCGAGAGCCTATTCAAATACATTGTAATTCTTCTCGCATCAATCGCTTGCGGGAGGTGCATGCGATTGATGCGAGCGTGCTTCCATGTATTTGAATAGGCTCTCGCATGCAAGTTCCTGACTGCGGAAAGAGTCTGTTTCAGGCATAAGGGAACTGGGTTCGCGTCAAATGATTGTCAGTCGCTTAGCAACGACTAGCTTTCCTTACGATTTTAATTAATTTGCGATCTCTGCCTAAGCAATGCGTTAGGGAAAATAAATTCAGTAAAACCGTGAACAGGGAGACGAAATCGGCCAGCTAAAATTAACCCGTTTAGGTCATATCCTAAAATAGTTGTTAGGTACTTAATCACTAGGTTTCGGGAGCATGATCAGGATACAGTCACATCAAGCTGCGAATATCACGGACGCTCGGGAGGATACGTCAACATTGAAAATTGCTAAACTATTAATTTCTTGCGTCGACTTATTGCTTGTAGTCTTTTGCGCTCTGTTCACTTATCGATGACACCCACCGGGGTCTCATTACGCCTGACGCCAGCTCTTGGTGTTCTGATTATACTAGCCTCCTCTGCACCTTATCTCCGATGGTGCTCCACTCTCCCCTGTCTTTTCTCTCTCCGTCTCTCCTCTCTCTCTCTCTCTCTCTCTCTCTCTCTCTCTCTCTCTCTCTCTCTCTCTCTCTCTCTCTCTCTCTCTCACTCACTCACTCACTCACTCACTCACTTACTCACTAACTCACTCACTAACTCACCCACCTCTCACTCACTCACTCACTCACCCACTCACTCACTCACTCACTCACTCACTCACCCACCTACTCAGTCTCACTCTCGCCTCCTCTCTCTCTCTCTCTCTCTCTCTCTCTCTCTCTCTCTCTCTCTCTCTCTCTCTCTCTCTCTCTCTCTCTCTCTCTCTTCCTCTCATCCATTCACTCAACTCGCTCACTCACTCACATTCACCTTGTCTCGTTCTCACGTCTTCTCCTTTCACCTCACTTGCATTCTTTTCCTTTCGTCGTCATCTCTTATCTTCCATTGCTTCTCTTCTCCGCTCTCCTACTACTACATATTTCTTTCGTCTTTCTCTCCACCTCTCGGTACATCATCGTCTACATCTCCTCTGTGGAGGAGCTGGAGGTGCCTGTATTGCACGTGCCGGTCCAATCGGCCGAGAAGCCACGGAACTGAGACGAGCTATCCGTATAAAGGTTGACCGTCAGCTGTGAGCCGGCTGTGGGCCCAAAGGGAGCTGGCATCGTGTCTCCGCAGAAAGGGCCCTCCTCGATCCCGCTCGGATCCCTGGAGAGAGAAGGGACGGTTAGTTTAGCGAGAGGGGTGAATAGTTCAGCGGGAGGGGGTGGCTAGTTTAGCGAGAAATAGCAGTCAACCCAGCGGGAAATGGCGGGTCAATTCAGCGAAAAATGACAGTCATGTCAGTGGAAAATGACAGGTCAGCGGAAAATGGCATTCGGGTCAGCGAAAAAGCATTTGGTTTTAATGGGTTTTGAGTTGGAAGTCACAGAGCGTGAAATGGGGTATTTATTTATCTAGTTCACACCATCATCGAACTTAAATCGCAGTCTATGCTGAGTAACGTTATCTACATTCCTTACTCCTCAGATTTTCGTTTTTTAGGAAGTTTACTCACATTATTCAATCTTGGCATCGAAGAGCGAGACGTTTAGCTCAATTTTACCAGTCTGATTACTTAAAGCGAATAGAAAATGGCAGGGCACAGCCCCTCCCCATTCACTACTCACGAGATTTTCAGAGTGTCGTAGCTACACGTGCCGTAGCTACTCTCGAGCTCGAAGTCTGTGAAGGTGATGCTGAACCTGCGTGTCGGGTGGGTGGCCACGAAGTGCCAGAAGGTGTCCCGGCCGCTGGGGTACTCGGCTGGGTAGTTGACCGACTGCAGCGTGCCGCTGAAGTTGGTTGAAGCGTCGCACGAACCTAGCTGGTCACCTGGTGGTGGAAGAAAGGGGCACTTTATGGGCATTGAAATATGAATGAATGAAATGGTGGGACCGTTAGCGGTCTAGTATAATGGATTTTCTTAGATTATAACCGTCTGAGCTTATAAAGAATCTGAAGATTTTATTTGCAGTCGCTGAACGACATAGCTTTTATCACAGCTCAACCTATAGAAATGCCAAAGAAGTTGAATAGCAGGTTTTATTCATTCTTTTCCTCACGATTTGCTAAAAGTCGCTTTAAGTTGATCATAAAACGACCATGCAACCGAATGGCAATTCTCCCAAATTATGCATCTCATGCACGTGACATTCCTCATGAGTTGTCTCGCGTATAGCCCTCACCGGCTCCACATAGCTTCCACGTGAGGTTGAAGCCGCGAGCCACTCTACCAATGTCCGTGTGAAACACCACGGTCATTACGTTGCTGGTGCTCGGCCCCACCCGCTTCGGGTAGTTGGAGCCGCAAAACTTTCCGCCGAGGGACGGTGCGTCGACAGAATCGCCGTCTCTGACGAAAGACACAGCGGATCGAATTGGGTTGTGGAAAAGTAACGGGTTGTTATAGAAACGTAACGGGCTGTATAGTCTGGCAAACCTAAGAAAGAATGGATTTAAAGTGCTGCGGTCACTGATGCATGTGCATTTATATTGTGAGAGCGTATTTTCTCTCACAACTTTTCACACAAATTTCTCCGAGCCATACATTTCAAGTGATCAAAACACGTGCAAAGTGATTCAGGCGCTTTAACTCCGTTCTTTCTTAGGTTTGCCAGACCATAGTAGGGGGATGAGGTCAAATCATGCACCAAGAGTGAGTACATATGATGGGGTTATGTGATGCGCCGAGGCGTCACCTTCCACTGCGGTGGAATGCAGCGGGGCGGCATCCTAAACCATCAAGCGAAAAGTGGAACACCTCTGCGGTTCCCGGAACCTGTAAAAATATGGCAGGCTTGTCTCCTCCCCCTCTATCAGAACCAGGCTCCAATCTTATGAAGCGCTGTATTTTCCTACTCTAAAAAAAAAACACACATAAAAGCTCCTATTACCACTGCTTATGTCCTTCTTTGATTGCGCTAAAATACACGATGCTGGTTCCATTGCACTAAGGCACTTTGGCATTGTTGAATGAAGAATGTAAAGTCGGATACTCTAGTCAAAAAGTTGATCCCTTTGTGCTTACCTGAACTCGAGAAAATCGTATCGGGTGCAGTTCTGATCGTCTTCCTCCAGCGAGAAATCGTTTATGTTGATTCGGATGGTCTGTCCCGGCTCCGCCATAATCATCCAGATGATGTCCACATCGTTTCCGTAATCGTCGGGGTAGTTGGGGGATAGAATAGTCCCCTCAATGCCTTCGATCTGGGTGGCTCCGCTGCACGCTGTGAGAGAGAATATTGAATATTTTCACTGAAATGGTGCCTATGAAGTGAGCCCGGGCCCCGCGGTCGCGCAGAGTGAGATATAAATCAGTGATGTCAATCACAGGTAATTTGGAAACCGATGCCAAACCAAATACCAACTGAACCCTTGAAAAAATACCAAAACCGAACCAACTCGCGAATTCAGGAGAAATACCATTTTTTACCGAATTTCTAATGTTGAATACGCTACCAAGTCCTCACAATACCAACAAAATACCAAAATTGTTAGGTTTGAAATACCAAATACCAAGTTGGTATCGGTTTGGTATCGGTAATCGGTATACCAAATACTTGGTATCCCATTGACATCTCTAATATAAATACATAACTTTAAGGAAAAAGCGGTAACGTCATGATGGAAGCTGTCGATGGCCTATATTTTTACATCAATGCCATGCAGGGCCAGATGAACTTGTGGATCCAACGGGGGGGGGGGGGGGGGTAACCGAGCCAAAATCAGAGCTAGGGGTGGCCAAAACATGATTTGTTCCCCTTTCCAAATCGAATTCGCCCCTTTAAAATCTCCTCTGGACCGCGATTCATAAAAAATGACGACATGCATGTAAGATAAGTCAAGAAATCCTCATTTACGATCCCAAATAGTCCAAGTATATCAAAAGCGGGCAATCTTGTCAATGATAACATTAGAACCTGGACTTTGGGCCGGCTTTGGGCTGGCCCCTTCCTTCGAAAACGGCTGGATCCGCCAGTGGCCAGATCGCATCAGCGAAGTAATTCCATATCGCTATATAGATAATATATAAACAAATACAATCGAAATTTTCGTGCCCTTCCTATTCGCCGAAGCTGTCGTTACGCGCAAACATCATTTCTGCTGCATTTTTAGACCGTTTCAAAGTTTTTTCCCCATCAATTTTCGCTCTTACACAAATTACAAAAGCATCCAAAATGCAAGTATGAAACCATCCAATCCATGTCACTGCAAGATAACTTATTACTGTGCTGTGTGCATTCTGCCGATAGTTAAATGGTGATTCTATCATTGCATACAAAAGTTGAATGTTGTCCGTTAAATGCCTCCATGCGTTAGATACTCACGGTCTTCGGTGGTAGTGGTGCTGATGATGGTGGTCGTGCTGCCGATAGTGGTGCTACTGATGGTAGACGATTCAGTTGCAGCGGCGGTTCTGGTGGTAGACGATACAGTCGCAGCGGCGGTACTGGTGGTAGACGATACAGTCGTAGGCAGAGTTGACGTAGAGGGAGGAGCAGCGGTAGACGATGTGGGCAGGTCGGTGGTAGAGGTCGTTTCGACCGTGGTCGAGGGCGTTTCGACCGTGGTCGAGGTCGTCTCGACCGTGGTAGAAGTGGCCTCGGTAGTTGTTGGCTTGGTTGGTTCGCTAGTTGTCGCCACGGTAACGGTTGTGGTGGTGGGTGGGTCACCTGAGGCAAAAGACCGGTGTGTTAAATTGATAAGTATATTCTATCAAATACAAATACCATATCAAATACAAATACAGATGACCGAATCTAATTATTTTCTTTCAGCTCTCAGCCCCAACACTGGTCTTTCCATCGCAACTCTCCCCCCCTCTCTCTCTCTCTCTGTCTCTCTGTCTCTCTGTCTCTCTGTCTCTCTGTCTCTCTGTCTCTCTGTCTTTGTCTCTCTCTCTCTCTCTCTCTCTCTCTCTCTCTCTCTCTCTCTCTCTCTCTCTCTCTCTCTCTCTCTCTCTCTCTCTCTCTCTCTCCCCTACCTCCCTGCACTCCTCCCTAACTCACCACACTCTGTCCAGCTGATGGGCTGTTTTCCAGTGGGACAAACGCACGTGCCTCGACTGCATGAGGCTACCCCATTTGTGAACTGACACTCGGAGTCAGACGTGCACCAGTCTCCTAGGTTAGCTGTCGGAAAATGTCATGACACTGACATAAACTGGCATAACACTGACAAGTGACACGGAGATTTGGCATTAGACTGGCACCTGATTAGCTACTGACACTGACGCTTGACATTAAACCGACATGATACTGACACTGACACTGACACTGGCACTGATATTGACACATGACGTGGAACTGACACGATGCTGACACTGACACTTTATGAGACTGATATGGCCCTGATAAGACATTGATAAGACATAGTCACGACATAAACATGCCGCCAGACACTGACATAAATACCTACGTATTCAGTGGGGCTGAGGTCAAGCGTTACGATATTGATCCATCGAAGAGATAACAGTTTTTTTTTTTGGAAAGCTTGAGTGGTTGTAGGTACAACAGCTATATAGTCATTTCCTCAAATAAATGCTTTAAGAGAACGACAGTGATGAAAGAGACCGACAGACCAACGAACAGAATGACATACATACGCACACATGCAGATTCAGACCCACACAGAGACCTAAGCAGACCAGACCAGACCAGACCATTGTAACCCAGCCTAGACTCAGCCAAATCAGACCAATTAGATCGGCCCAACACAGACCAGTCAGACCAGATCAGCTCCCACCGATGCCCCAACAGACCCCACCAGACCCCAGCAGACCCACCGATGCCGCTGCGGAAGCGGTAGATCACGCTGGAGTTGTGTGAGGTCCTTGGACCACTTCCTCTGATAGCGTGCAGCTTACAGTCGCCCGAAACTGTGTCGAAACTGAAGCTTAGACAGTCATCTCGGATCAGGCAGGACGACATACACTCGCCTGTGAAGTGTCAGGTCAGGTCAGGTCAATAGCAATCCCTCGCCCGGCCAGGGGGAGGGGGTTGATGCAACCCCGACGCTTGTTGTAGATAACTTAAAAAAACCTGTAACGCTTTGGTGTTTCTAAGTGCCATATGTAGGAGCCAAGCGCCATGGGGTCGTAGTCGTACCCCCCCCCCCCTCCTCCCTCCGGCCGTCCGCGTGTTTGAAATAGGCCAAGCAAGGCCTGACGAGAGGTATACATAATGTATTGCTGAATCGGCGCAGTTCATACAGCACAGTTTGGCCAGGCTATACGAAATACCACTTCGCAAGGAGCCAAACTCAATTTACGAGACTACGAGATTTATTAGTTATTATTAGAGAAATTATTTAGTTATTAGGAATCATATCCATCGGTAACTACACTATTTGTACACTAATCGCGGGTACACTCGCAAGTGACCCGCGGTGCGGGTCTGTGGTTACCTTTCGCCAACTTTGGTTCATGTCAGTGGGCTCTTTGGAAAAGCGGTTGGCAGTGGCTAGCTTACCTAGTGACCTTTTTGCTTTAATCGTGCCGGTCCTGGTCATAAGGAATGCCTTCCTTGACATGAATCATAAATATGCCTGGTACCTACCTCGTGTGGCGTATGACCGTGCGTGAGAGAATATCGTTATGCTGGGTTTACCAAGTCGCGCTAGCCTGTACTTGCTGCTTGGTTTTGTTCATTACTGTAGCGAGACAGCCGTGACATTTTTTATATCATTCGGCCAGAACCTGTGTTCCGTTCGTTCGATCACGTCTTTTTTGCAGAGGTGTATTTTTTGTGTAGATAAACGCATTATTTCTCGCGATTCTCAATTTTCCAAGTCATGCATCGTACTGTTCACTGACAGAAGCCAGGTAAATGTCGAAAATCACTTGTTTCATAATTCTGTCCAGGAAAGGCGCGAATTTATGCAATGCATGATTCTGAAAAGAATGACCATCAATTTCGTTCGCTTAGGAACATACAATAGGGGCACCAGTATCGACTTGGCGATTCAATGTGTTGTTGGAAAATTGACAAATGAATACCTTTATGACAATGCCTGAAATGTAATGCTAATGTGACCATAAGATGGACAAAAAACATCACAGTCCTAGCGAGCATTGTCCTGAACTGACCATAGAAGCATAGCATTGATCGCCTACGGATATCGGATATCCTATCCTGTGAAAGCTCAGATATCTGATCCAGAAAAGATCCAGTGTTGGATGCCGCAAGAATATGAACTCCCCAAAATGTCTTCTTGAAACTAAAAACTGTCCTCGAATTTCATCCTGATGAAATTATTTTCAACTTACAGGCAAATACTTTATCTTAGCTAAAGCCGATTGATAATCGTTTTGAGTATTAGAAAAAAAGTTATCCTAAACTGTTTCTGGCATACTGGCCTCGATAATATTTTGAATCTTGTCCTGTGTTCTTGCGTGGTGGTGGGTGGCGTTAAGACTTTTATACAGTGGCGCGGGAACTTCTTCCAGACTGGGGGGGCTGAACCATCATAGAAATCAACCTAGCCCGCGAGTTGCTGGGGGGGGCGTTAAACGCCCCCACTTTTTTCGCCGGGCCATAGCATAAAACGGCGCGCCGCAGGCGCGCCAAATTTTGGGTACCTGTAGGGAATTGATTGAAGTTTATTGTGACAAAGTTTCAAAAAAATCGGTCGGAAAATTTTTGAGATATCGAGGTTTTAGTGACGTCATGATTTCTGAGTTTTCGACCAAAAACGGCATATGTTCAAAAAATCATATAAAATCACAGAATAGACATACAGACATGCCGTAAACGCCATTAGACTGCCAATACCATGATCAATCAAATGGCTATCTTCGATTATTGATTATCGTTCCGCATTTTCCATAATCTTGAACTGAATCTTGGCAATTTTTCGTGACTACTTCACGACCATGATACATGCATTTCTTAAATTGAACTTTTTGAGCCAAACACGTACACATATGATAAAATGAATGTCACCATCGTGTTTTACGCCCCAAATTACCTATAAAACATGCGTCACAGGCTGCGAATATCAGTTTTGATTTTCGGGGATATGTGCCTACCCGGTTGACCTGACCTTGACCCTGACCTATGCTTGACTGACCCCTACATGGAGCTGACACTCTTGTAGGCCTTATATGATGGATTGTGCACCGTTTGGACAGAGTTTATGACGAGAGGCGCTCATTGCGAAGTCCTGAAGTCCATGCTACTGAAAGCCCGATTTCAGGTGTTTGACCTGACCTTGACCCGACCTGTGACCTCAAAATTCAACTTTAAAGTACTCATCTGAAGCGTCTCGTCGCGCTCTTTCGTTTGCCGCCTCGTGCGTTTCGCTGCGCCTATTGGTTCTCGAGTTATCGGCTGGGGGCGTTTAACGCCCCCCCCCCCCCAGCAAACGGTGGGTGGCGAAATACCCCAGCAACTGCCGGGCTAGGGTACCCCCAAAGCTAGTTTTCTCACCGGTTTTAGGCCACTTATTTTTCAGACCTTGGCCTTTTCAACAACAACAAAAAAAAAACGAAAATATTTTCAAAAAGTGAGGTATTCCGTCTCAGCTGAGGGAAGAAACTACCTTTTTGGCAACCTGGGGTAAAGGTTTTTATCTGCCAAATGAGTTGCCGAGCCAGTGAAATAGGTGGATTTTTCACTTACATGCTTTCTTCCTTTGTGACCCACAACCCCTAATTTGGGGAGGACAAGCTGCCCAACGGTTCCTGGCCTCATGAAACGTTGTGGGGCACCGCCCCCACGGCCGCAGAGTTGTGGGGCAAGCTTCCCCCACTACCCCCTCCCCCGGTTCCCACGCCTATTGTATGAATCTATGAAATTATTTTGGTAGATTTCCGATTTCGATTCCTCCAGCTGGGGGGGGGGGCTCAAATACATTACAAGCCCCCCCCAGCCGAAAAGCTGGGGGGGGGGGGCTCAGCCCCCTAGCCCCCCCCCCCCCGGTTCCCGCGCCACTGCTTTTATAACGCTAGTGGTAACCATTACCTATAGAAAAATGTATCCAATAGATTTGATTATGTTTCTCGATTTTGTTTTTATGCTGGTAATGATATGCATGTTTTCATGCTACTTTTAACGCTTATGTTAACGGGGTAAATGGACTCTTTGACATATCGAGACATATACCGCTTCAGATATAGGTATTACGCCGTCGGCAGCTGTAGACTCCGATCATCCTCCCCCAACTCACATTCAGTGGCCTTGGTGGTGCTCCTAAGAACCGCAGCTGGCTCTGTCAGCAAGCCCTCACTCTTGAACAGGAACGGGGCCGACCTGACCACGTACATGCCCTCGGGCAGCCTCCCAGAGGTCAGGTGAGCGATGTTAGCCAGCAACAGCAAGAGCAGTGGCGCTGGACAAGAAGATAATCTTCGCGAAGCACCCCCCATGGTGAGCGCCCGGCGCCGAGCCGCGGTGTCGGGACTCGGCCGAGGTGTACTGCCGTGGTGTGCTGTGCGATGGGGGCTGACCCCACAGCCTCGGTCAGTTGGGGCGCCGTTTCCATGGGGAAGGACTGGCTAGGTAACCAGGGGGATCAAGAAACTGAGTGGGTATACTGTCGACTCACACGGCTGGTGTGTAGGGGTGAAAGGTATGCTGCTGGTATGTGATGAAAAGTCATTTACTAGTCATGTGGCTAGTTACTGTTGTTTTGCGTGTGATGTGTTTGCTATCGACTGTAGCTAAATGACGTCTGCATAGTTTGAGCGGCCAAGGTCATGCTGTGGAATATGTATTGTGCTGGCACATTGGGTATACTAAATACGCCCCAGGTGGTAACGACTAGCCTTTTGTGACCGCACGATAACCAGTAGAAGTTCTCGCCATGCCTTCTGCAGACTTATGTGGTGCGGATGTTGGGTCGCCAGCAGGTAACACGTGACTACAAAAAGGCAAAGAAAGCGCACTTTCCCACTCTATTGACCATGCATTTATAACTGAAAATCTATATCTAAATTCTTTAACCCTCGCCGGACCTATTGGTTTTCTACATACCGAGGGGGGGGGCGGGTACGACCCCCCCCCTCGCCGTTTCGCCCCTGGTGGAGCTAGCGCGTCGCGGAAAAAACGAGCGTGTGCGCCGTTACGAGACGCAGAGATTGGTACCCGATTTTAAGGTCCCAGGTCAACCGGTGACCTCTGAGGTCAGGTCAAGTGCCCCAAGGTACGGTTCAGTTTTTGGTGAATAACTTCGCAAAAAACGGCCGCAGAGCGCCGATTTTGGCAGCATCGTGTTCGTCTCGCTCAGGCGCGTCGAATGATATACTTTTTGTCCGGGTCAGGTCAACTTGGAGTGTTGACCTCAGGTCAAGGTCAGGTCAGCACCCCCAGGTCACGACGTTGGTCGAAAGGGGTCATGTCGCATATCATTCGATTCGGCAGATCTTCCTGAGTCCATTGGTGGCTTTCCCGACTCGCTAGCTCAATTTGATCAAGAGTTATTGACGAAAAACTAATATGACCTTGATGACGTCATTAATGACGTCACGCAAGGTCAACATTGCAAAAGTGACGCATCTAACCTTGCAAGGAGTGCATAAAATCACGATTCTGTGTGCTTGAGATAGTTGGAGATCGTTCCCGGCGCCATAATAGCTGTTTTCATTTTTCCCCATTGACTTATAATGGTGAGGTCACGAAAATGACCTGACCTCATATGACCTTTAGGAAAAATCCGAGATATACAAGTTGTGGGACTCATAATGGATACTAGTTCCTGCAAGCTTCATTTCCCTGTGACATCTCCTCTGGCAGTGAGGGCGTTGCGAAGTTGCGACATCTGAAGACCGTGCAGAGGTTCACTTATGACATCATAGGTCAGTGACCTGACCTGACCCAAAAATGCGGTTGGTGTCAAAAGATGCGGCTTGTATCAAAGGTCAGGTATGCCAAGTTTCAGCTCTATCGCCAGCGTGTTCGGAGCTATCGCGAAAAAACCCTATGGGGGGGCGGCACCCGCCCCCCCCCTCGGCCGGCGAGGGTTAATTTCTTCCACCAGTTTCTGTAGACATTGAGGAACATGAAGTGAACTCGATGATGTACCGGTTTTTGCTTTTTCGGTTTTGCCATTTAGGCGATAACCGTTATAAAGCTTGTATTAGTTGTGTAAGCCCAAATAGACAGAAATGTATGTATAAAAGCTGAATGTTTTTCTTCTAAGTCAGTATTGACTAGTAGGCATACCTATGACCAGTATAGCGCCTTTTGGGGCGACTAACGGAGCGAGCGAGGGGGTGAGTCTTGCACGTGCGAAATTTCGAGGAGGTACCTCCAACTGACTTGTGCACGGCACCCTACTGACCGGTTTCTAGCGATGTGCCAAATTTGAGCACAATCGGCCCAGCCGTTCTCGAGATCTGGGAGCGGCACCCTGCACGTGCGCACGTGCAAAATGGGTCCCAACTGACTTGCGCACGGCACCCTACTAACTGGTCCCTAACCGTGTACCAAATTTGAGCGCCATCGGTCCAGCCGTTCTCGAGATCTGGAAACGACCCCTGCACGTGCGCACGTGCAGCAGCACCCCAACTCTGGCACATGGATATGCAGTGCCTAGTGGGTGCCTACCTACATGCCAACTTTCAGCGCAATCGGCCAAGTAGTTACCGAGATATTGCAACAATTACAAAACTGACACCTCTTCGTTTTGCACGTGGCACGTGCATAAGGGGTCACCCACATGCATCGGGAATAGTCCAATACTTGGTAGAAGGAATGAAGCTACCCTACAAAAATTACCGCATGTAAATCGGTCAAGTGGTTGCTGAGATATAAGCCTCGCAAAAGCGTCCGCACGGCCGGCCGGCCGGCCGCTCATACTCAGAAATTTCCGTTATTCTACGTAAGACTCCGCTCGCTTCGCTCGCTCCGTAATTATCATTTCAGTTAACTATATCTTGAAAGACGAATGTCCTGTCCTTAGATAGAACTTGGTTTTAACATAGGTATTTAAAATATGTGTCGTAGTTCAATAGGTCACAATATTGCTGTTATCACTGTAACTGTGAAAATAACAGCTGAGGAAGTGACGTTTGTGGTAATAATAAAACCAGTATAGCGCCTTTTGGGGCGACTAACGGAGCGAGCGAGGGGGTGAGTCTTGCACGTGCGAAATTTCGAGGGGGTACCTCCAACTGACTTGTGCACGGCACCCTACTGACCGGTTTCTAGCGATGTGCCAAATTTGAGCACAATCGGCCCAGCCGTTCTCGAGATCTAGGAGCGGCACCCTGCACGTGCGCACGTGCAAAATGGGTCCCAACTGACTTGTGCACGGCACCCTACTAACTGGTCCCTAACCGTGTACCAAATTTGAGCGCCATCGGTCCAGCCGTTCTCGAGATCTGGAAACGACCCCTGCACGTGCGCACGTGCAGCAGCACCCCAACTCTGGCACATGGATATGCAGTGCCTAGTGGGTGCCTACCTACATGCCAACTTTCAGCGCAATCGGCCAAGTAGTTACCGAGATATTGCAACAATTACAAAATTGACACCTCTTCGTTTTGCACGTGGCACGTGCATAAGGGGTCACCTATATGCATCGGGAATAGTCCAATACTTGGTAGAAGGAATGAAGCTACCCTACAAAAATTACCGCGTGTAAATCGGTCAAGTGGTTGCTGAGATATAAGCCTCGCAAAAGCGTCCGCACGGCCGGCCGGCCGGCCGGCCGGCCGGGCGGCCGCTCATACTCAGAAATTTCCGTTAATCTAAGGAAAGACTTCGCTCGCTTCGCTCGCTCCGTAATAAACGAAAATATGATGTAGCGCGATCTCAAGCGGTACTGAATATTGGACAAGAGCACTTGGTTTAGCGACAAAGTCCTGGCTGCAAAGGGCAAACAGCTGTTGTGTTTGATGGTTCGCATTAAAACAAATAATATATCCTAGAAATTTTGATGCTCGTGTGCGTAAGCTTTTCCGCTTTGATAAACGGCTATTAAATTGCACTCAATCATCCGCAACTCCAGTTGTGTTTGGTGTTTGTCCAGCGACGCTGCTCGCTGCTTTACACTGCTCGACTCGTCCAGCTATATTGCGTGAGCTCGAATATCGTCAACTTTACGTCCTGCTGTTGCACATGCATGTATTTCACAACACATTAATTTCAAGTGACACAAGAACGGCGGGAAACCGATATACGAACCGCACAAATTCAACCACGCCACCAGTGTTTCCAGTCGGTTACGCGCCGCCGCTCTGGTACCCTTAGCGACACCCAGCGGGCTCAGCTGACAGCGACACAACACTGATGACGTCACAGGACCAACTCAGTGACGTCAGAGGAACGATGAACGGGCATGGAGTCGAGTAACGGCATCAGGTGACTGGATGCCGAATGATACAAGCGCAAAATCACTGGATTGGACAATGACGAATGACGATCACAAATCCACTTGATTACACGCTAACGAAATTGCAATTTTTGTCAACAACTGAACGCAGAAGAAATACCAAATATTACAGGCTGAAAAGATCACAACCGTATTTCCCCAACATGGCTGTGGCGTGCTATTTTTAGAAGAACCCGTCGTAGCCATAGCCGGCGCCGTAGACTCCGTAGCCACGGCCGTAGCCGGGGTCGTAGCCAGCTCCATCCCGAGGGTAGAGCGTCGTACCGCCGTAGCCGTTGTCGTAGCCGTTCCAGTAACTGTTGAAGCTGCCACTGGGGCCGCCGTAGCCTCCTGGCCTGATGGAGGATGAACGGGGTGTTAGCTAAGTGAAGGTAATGCTAACGGATGACGTTAGATGAAGAAATGTTGAGAGGTCGAATGATGTAAACCGTTCCGCTCCGAATATGTATTCTCTGGATATGTTCTGGTATGCATTTGTCCTAGGTTTTGACCCAGCTAGGTATTCATACATTGGCGGATCCAAAAAGGCGGTATTGAACGCTATTTTCGGCCAGTATATTTCACATAATAACTTCTAATTGAAAAGCTCGGATTTTGCATCCCTAACTAGTGGTCTGCAAAGCAAATCTAAGGATTAATTTATGTGATTTTTATACAAATTATAAAACATATTCATGGAAGAAAGCAACAAAGTTAAACTTGACCAGAGTTGCTAAATGTCGCCGTGGATAGGCCAGAGGGTTTTTTTAACTTACCCTCCAAATCCGGCGTCGAACGGGCTCCCGTAACCACCCAGCTCGAACTGGCACAGGGTCACTGTCGCCAGGGCAGCCACGAAGAGCGCAGCGAAAAGACAACGACCGGCGGCCATATTGGAGGAGTCTTCGGAGACGGTAGACGCACTGAGAGGGTCTTGGATAGTGTGATGCATTGGAAGGGTACGATGGCAGTTTTATACTCTTGTGAGGTGTTGTGGGAAAGATGTGTGTGTGCGGTTGGTTTTCACATCGTTTCACGTTTGACTGGTGTGTTACAGCGAGCTGTGACTGGGTTGAAGTGCACGTGGGCGTGGCCTGGGCGGTGTACGACTTCGCCTAGATATCCCCGGGCTGTCTGCCGGTCTCGACCTTTGGAAACCTCCTCAGGCTTCAACCGCCACAAGTGGCTGACCCGGGCGGTTTTTACTATCCGCAGGTCATGGCGCTCAGGGGCGAGTGAAGATCAGATGACGTGCTAGATGATCATGCCCTGCCGCTGGAGTCAGCCGCAAGTGCGGCGAAAATGCCGCAGGTGACTGCGCGTGGGAAAATGCTGATTAGATCCGCCAAAGGTGAGCGAAAATGAGCTCTTTGCGGCAGTGTTGAGACAAGGTCAGGAGGCGGTGCGGGGTTTCCGTTGGCGATGTCGCTAATGATTCGGTAGCATGCAGATTATCACGTAATGAAGCTAATTCGAGTAGAAATTATTCGAATCTTCAGTAAATTACTTCTATAAGAAGACGACGACGCGGCACGGCATCAACAAATTAGACGCATCAGAAGCTTTTTAAAGTTTTAATTATTCGCAAAATACACTTACGCTGAGAAAACATCAACACTATAAGAAATATATGACGGATGCTGAGTATTGGGCCCGTCTGGGCGGGCCAGGACGGCGTTATCAGGCTAGTGCCACCCCAGTCCTAGGGAGGGTAATTAGAGGACACCTCCCCGGCCGGGGAGAGATGTATGTAGGGTGCCTCCGCGGCGCTCCAGACGGCCTGCCCCTGCCCGCGCTGCCCTGCGTCTATTACAATGGAATATGGATGTAAAAATACATAGGTACAGTTGACTTTAGAATAATGCTCCATTTCTCACAGGAAAATGGTTGCCTGGAATGGTAGGCTGGGCGCAGCACTCAGGCTGAGTGGCACATTTTGTCCATGTGACCCTACGCTCACGCCTCATCCTAGCATAGGCGGCGGAACGGGGGGGGGGGGGGGCACTGGGGCACCGTGCCCCCTTGAATTTTGACATTTTTACATTAGCCCTATGGGCTTTGTATGGAAAGAATGGGACCAAAAGTCGGCAGTGCCCCCGTTAATTGAAGGTGTTCCGCCGCTACTGCATCATAGGCATATACCATAGGCATAGGCATATTACCTAGAACTACGCTCATTGGCACGTTAAATTGCGGGAGAGTCGGTACTTATTAGCATATCAGTCAACAGTTCAACTGATAGCTTGTGAGGAGTGGACCATCATTCTGTAGCCAACTGTAGGTATAGGTACACATTTGCAAGGGCAGTGCCGCTGACCTCTGCACCGACCTCCCGAGCGGAACGCCAGCACGCCGTCCGGCGCCCCGGGCGAGCGGCCGGCAGGCTGGCCCTGCACAGCGTGCTAGGACCGCATATGATATGCATACAACGACGCATCAGGAGCTTATTTGCGTAACAAATTTATAGCTTAAATCTGACAGCAGGTTAAAGGTGTATTATTTATCATTTATTTTATTTATTTTTCGTTTCACCCAACAGCCACAGCCCACAAGCAAGTGGGCATTGCGACGGACACTGGCAAAAGCACAGATAAAAACACGGCCTCGCACCGTTGGCACATTTCATACAACATTGTTAACATTTTCAATGCACACTTATCCACAATTTTCGCAAAGTTCAATATACACATTCGAAGAAGACGCATTTCAGTGCTACATTCCTAACCGCTTAATTCGCCAGCATCCGCTATACTTTTAAGGTATTTGCTAAACTCGGCAATAGAGCATTGTCGTAAATGTGGAGGCCATTCCATATCTTACAACCGTGATATCTAAACTGCATGCGACACAATTAGAGCTGAGATTAACTTCACCGCCATGGCTAATCCGACCTCATACGGTGTGAGACAGCTTAGCCCTCAGATTCCAAACCTGTACTGAAGGCTAGCTCACTTCTGTACGAGCGCTGCGCCTGTGATTTCAATGGTCCCTTTGTGACGTGTTGTTCCTCTTGGTCATTCCCTCTGATCCATCAAAGAGTTTAAAGATCCAAGATCCAGGAGTTTAAAATAGGTTATATTGCAATTAGCCGAAAGATGAGACCGAAACCAAAGTGATGTCATAACAAAGAAGCAATGAAAACAACTCAGGGCGAAAATCAGTCCCGAATGAGTTGCAGTGGCACTCGAACAGGCCAATATCTACGAAGCCAAAATAATGCCGAAAGAACTGCTTGCAGCTGCCATGCCGGAACAATCGGCTTTTACGGCTAGCTTCACAACAGCAGGCTGAAATACTAACTATACGAATGTGACCGGACACTTGTGGTCAATGGTCCCTGAAAAAGGGCCGAGAGTGCTGAGGAGTGGGTGTTGTGAGTGAGTGGGTGTGTTCCGCTGCTCCGTCTAGCACCCGTTTTACACCTCGAAGCTCGTACAAGAAGTGGCAAGGGAACTGTTATTCCGTATTCCTTATTCGTTGTTCGTTATTCGTCGCTATTCGTCCCGCGGCACAGGAGCAGCTCATGTTCGGCTGGTCGGCCGACTCTAGCCTTTTTGTAATGCTGTTTGCATATCGGAGGTCAGTTCCGGAGCGATATGCTGTCCATGTATAGTGTATACCCCTTAGTCGCTATACCGGTTATCCTGATTCCAGTTTCTATCTGGTGATACTGGCGTCCGGTCTGCGACGGAACTATATGTATGGTAACCAGCCGGTGTGCCGCGGCGGCGGCACCGGCCCGATATAATAGAGCTGTGGCTGTCCTGTCCCTTTTCAGAGATCTGAGTGACACTGGTATAGAGCTGCTGCTCAAATATTTCTCTCACACCATGAGAGATAAGAAATGTATTTCTCATCATGGCTGCAGCCTGCATAGTAAGAAGTGATGGCCTTAGCCCCATTACACACGATCATTCCTACGTTAACGTTTTGGTACGACACGGCATTGATAAATGGACATGCCATGTAAGCTTGTTTTGTTTTGTCAAACGAACACCTGCCTCCCAAAATGAGGATATCTGTGGTTTTGCTGCTTCATGGCAATCCGCTTGGAAGCGGGATAATACGTGGTGTAACACTAACCCGAATTCCGACAAAATCTTCAAACCATGAGCGCGTCGACGATTTACCTTGGCTATGAATAGATCGTTGTTTTACAACCCGTAGCGTGGCATTGACCCACAATTCAGGTGCCTGGAGGGATGGGGAGGTGTTTTCGGAATCTCCGTCAAAGTCGGCTCTTGTCTCAGATAGTAATAAGCGTTGAAGGGTTTCGGAAAGGGTTTAGAAATGTTTTCGCAGCCCACTTTGTTAACCCGCGCCCTGCTGGGAGGGGGGGGTGTTTGAACACCCCCCCCCTTGTGGTTTTTTGCGAATATCTCAAAAACGGCGGCGCGGAGCGCCGCCGTTTTTGGTACACCTTATCATACATCAATTCTACACATGTTGTGAAAATTTCAGACCAAGGTCATTCAAGGTCAGGTCACCAGGTCACTTGAAGTGACTTCACCTCATAAAAACTTTCAATGTCTGTCATAGCTACACCGAGTGACCGATCGCTTTGAAACTTTCAGCGATTGCTGAGAGCAATAGCATGTACAAAATGTATATCTCAGAATTTTGATATCGATGACCTAAGGTCAGGTCAATTTTGCGACCTCCCCATTATAAGTCAATGGGAGAAAATTGAAATGCGCCTCTTTTGCATGATAGACATTATAAACACTCCCAAACACCGAATTACAAGTGGTTTAGACACACTGAACTTGAAAATGGTGTCCGTGACCCTTGTTTATGCCCTGAGGTCATCTTAGGTCACGAATGGTATCTAACAGTTTTTCGCAAATAACTTTTGATAGAGGCATGCTAGAGCGATGAAAACGCCTTAGATGTGTTCAGCTCGACGATACGGATCGACTGATATGCAACATGACCCTTTCCGGTCAGGTCATGACCTTGACCTGAGGTCAAATTTTCAAGTTGACCTTTCAAGGTCAAGTCATAGTTCATTCGATGCGTCTTGACGAGAGGAACACGATGCCGGTAAAAGTAAGCTCGTACAAGGCTTGGGTCAAAAGTTATTGCAGAAAAACTGTTTTCGAAAAAATCGGCTATTTTTGCAGTTTTTGCCCCCTGCAGGCAAAACCGTTGACGTTAGGTCAAATCTGAGAGAATTACTCAGAAAGGGCGTTAATAGGGCTATCGAATGCGCTTTTCCGCGGCGCTGTAGCTCTATTGGTTCCCGAGTTATGCGTTGGCTTCTTGTAAATTTTCGACATTCGACCTGGAAATCGGCGAAATTTTGCCTTCAATGACCTCTGGTGACCTGACCTTTGACCTGACCAAAAATTGACCGAAGTGATTTCGTCATTATTTTTGACGCTCTTTCGAACGCCGCCTTCCGCGTATCGCTACGTGGCCCAGGAGCCGAGTTACAAGGGGGGGTGTTCAAACACCCCCCCCCCCCCAGCAAGGCGTGGAAATCCAGGACCCCCAGCAGGGCGCGGGTTAATGCTTGGGTCATGACCGAGGTCATCACACGCTTATCATGGATCAATTTTAGCTCTTTAGTCACTGAGATGCTATTATAGTACATGAGTGATTGACATAAAATGCAGCATGTTGTGGAAAATGTTGCCATTCATACCAATTTCCATGAGAAGTCGTAAGTTTTGACCTTCCGTTCTTTCAATCCACGACTCGGGCACGAGATAGCATAAGCAATAAAAAGTTGTGATTGCATTGGAACTGTTGTCCTGCTGTATTTTTTAAAGTTTTTTTTGTGTGTGTGACGTCGATTGCATTGCCGCCTCATCTTCCTTGCCAAGTTGCTACGAATGCCGTAGGTATCTGATCTCAATAGACCAAGAAATTGGCGGGTCGGTGGCACAAGTCTAGCCTCTATAATATACCGTTTCATACCTTAGCTAGAAAATCTAGTTCCCTTGTTCAACGTTGGTGGGAACTGTTGATAGTAACTACATATGTTACCTCAAAGGCGATATGTGCGGCCATGAGTGCGATTTCCAAGTTGGTATTTGACATTGTAAGGAATAGGCATAAGGTATGGTTCAGGCTAGCCTCTGAGGGTAGAAATGTAAGAAACAGCGGGTTCTTCCCCCTTCCATCCTTCCCCCATCTGTCGTTCCTCCTCACATCCCCTGCGTGATTGGAGGCGATATATCTGACCTATCCCCTGCGCTATAAATAGTCCTATGCTCGCATCTCCTTCTTCCTCCGAAGCTTTGTGGCTAACACGGTGATGTCAATTGCAATATATTGGGACACCGATACCGCAGTAAATACTAACCAAACCCCACGGTAATATAAAAAAAAACGAACTTACAAGTTACAACTGGTGACACTGGTAGAAATGCCAACATTTTACAAACTTCAGGGCATCTTATATACTGATGAGGTTTGATAATATCAACAAAATGTCAAACCATTGGGATTGAAAATTGAAATATCAAATACCACGTTGTTATCGGTAGGGCTTGGCATCGGTGTTATCAGTGTAAAACTTAGTATCCAATTGGCATCTCTAGTGGCTATCACCCCACGGCACTGGGCCACCGGACACCCTCCCTCCCCTCCCCTCCTCCGCCCCCGGAGAGTCAGATGATACCGCGGGGGGGGGGGGGCGGGCTCTGACCGACAACTACCTCTGCCGGCCGGTGGCCGCACGGCGCAGACGCCGACCGGCCTCACGGGCGGCGGGTTACCTCTCCACGGTCCTCTGGTCCCTGTAAGTCTCTGTTGGTCCGGTACTTTGGTCCTAGCTGGTCCGCCTCAGTCCAAGCTGGCCTTTAGTCATACCCGTCTTTGACACAGTATCATTTCCTTCCTCTCAGTACATTTCAGTTTATCCCCGGGCTTGTCAGTTAGTCAGCTAGTCCCTAGTTTTCCGGACAGTGAGTCGGCGGAAGACCGTCATGTTACGTCTGCTGCTCTTCGTGGGTGCGGCGTTGGCAGCCCCGAGGGAACAAATCTGCGGTTATGACGTAAGTGTTCGGGGGTCGTGAGATGCGTGACGCATAGATTCTGGGGTTCTATGATGTATGACGTGTGCTGTATGTGTGTTTGGGTTGGGGTATAACGTAAAGGTTGTCGGATGTTCAGTTCAGATGAATTGAATGGTGACCTTGTTGACCCTATTGAGCGCATTGTATGGTGGATTACTGGGTTGAGATGAAATCTGAATGTAACGCAAGGTGTTGTCACGTATTTTTCTACGGCTTTAAGGTCAGTTTTATCAGATCTGTCACCAGTTACGCTCGTTGGTCGATCGAACGTGAAGCAGGTATTCTTAACGCACACAACAGGTCACCAAGAGCTTCTCATGAAAAGTCATCAGTGAAGTAACGGCATGAGGTATGCTCATTGCAAGCAATGATTGTGATATTATATTTATAATTGCGTCGACCTCCCTTCGAAAATCTTCTTTGTAGGTTCGATGCAAAGCATTCAAATTTGTCAGTTTCCCATGCAATGTTTCGGGTCTATGGTTTGGGTGAAAAAGTTGACTTTAACCCAGGTCGGTAAGATGCAGCGTAAATATTTTATTGGAATCAATTTTCGTGCATTATAATTGTCTATATTAACCCGGCAGTTGCTGGGGTATTTCACCACCCACCGTTTGCTGGGGGGGGGGGGGGGTTAAACGCCCCCAGCCGATAACTCGAGAACCAATAGGCGCAGCGAAACGCACGAGGTGGCAAACGAAAGAGCGCGACGAGACGCTTCAGATGAGTACTTTAAAGTTGAATTTTGAGGTCACAGATCGGGTCAAGGTCAGGTCAAACACCTGAAATCGGGCTTTCAGTAGCATGGACTTCAGGACTTCGCAATGGGCGCCTCTCGTCATAAACTCTGTCCAAACGGTGCACAATCCATCATATAAGGCCTACAAGAGTGTCAGCGCCATGTAGGGGTCAGTCAAGCATAGGTCAGGGTCAAGGTCAGGTCAACCGGGTAGGCACATATCCCCGAAAATCAAAACTGATATTCGCAGCCTGTGACACATGTTTTATGGGTAATTTGGGGCGTAGAACACGATGGTGACATTCATTTTATCATATGTGTACGTGTTTGGCTCAAAAAGTTCAATTTAAGAAATGCATGTATCATGGTCGTGAAGTAGTCACGAAAAATTGCCAAGATTCAGTTCAAGATTATGGAAAATGCGGAACGATAATCAATAATCGAAGATAGCCATTTGATTGATCATGGTATTGGCAGTCTAATGGCGTTTACGGCATGTCTGTATGTCTATTCTGTGATTTTATATGATTTTTTGAACATATGCCGTTTTTGGTCGATAACTCAGAAATCATGACGTCACTAAAACCTCGATATCTCAAAAATTGTCAGGCCGATTTTTTTTAAACTTCGTCACAATAAACTTCAATCAATTCCCTACAGGTACCCAAAATTTGGCGCGCCTGCGGCGCGCCGTTTTTATGTTATGGCCCGGCGAAAAAAGTGGGGGCGTTTAACGCCCCCCCCCCCAGCAACTCGCGGGTTAATAGTTGGGCATTATTACGGAGCGAGCGAAGCGAGCGTAGTCTTTCCTTAGATTAACGGAAATTTCTGAGTATGAGCGGCCGGCCGGCCGGCCGGCCGGCCGGCCGGCCGTGGTCACGCTTTTGCGAGGCTTATATCTCAGCAACCACTTGACCGATTTACACGCGGTAATTTTTGTAGGGTAGCTTCATTCCTTCTACCAAGTATTGGACTATTCCCGATGCATGTGGGTGACCCCTTATGCACGTGCCACGTGCAAAACGAAGAGGTGTCAGTTTTGTAATTGTTGCAATATCTCGGTAACTACTTGGCCGATTGCGCTGAAAGTTGGCATGTAGGTAGGCACCCACTAGGCACTGCATATACATGTGCCAGAGTTGGGGTGCTGCTGCACGTGCGCACGTGCAGGGGTCGTTTCCAGATCTCGGGAACGGCTGGACCGATTGCGCTCAAATTTGGTACACGGTTAGGGACCGGTTAGTAGGGTGCCGTGCACAAGTCAGTTGGGACCCATTTTGCACGTGCGCACGTGCAGGGTGCCGCTTCCAGATCTCGAGAACGGCTGGGCCGATTGTGCCCAAATTTGGCACATCGCTAGAGACCAGTTAGTAGGGTGCCGTGCACAAGTCAGTTGGAGGTACCCCCTCGCAATTTCGCACGTGCAAGGCCCACCCTCTCGCTCGCTCCGTTAGTCGCCCCAAAAGGCGTTATACTGGTTACGGAGCGAGCGAAGCGAGCGTAGTCTTTCCTTAGATTAACGGAAATTTCTGAGTATGAGCGGCCGGCCGGCCGGCCGGCCGTGGTCACGCTTTTGCGAGGCTTATATCTCAGCAACCACTTGACCGATTTACATGCGGTAATTTTTGTAGGGTAGCTTCATTCCTTCTACCAAGTATTGGACTATTCCCGATGCATGTGGGTGACCCCTTATGCACGTGCCACGTGCAGAACGAAGAGGTGTCACTTTTGTAATTGTTGCAATATCTCGGTAACTACTTGGCCGATTGCGCTGAAAGTTGGCATGTAGGTAAGCACCCACTATGCAATGCATATCCATGTGCCAGAGTTGAGGTGCTGCTGCACGTGCGCACGTGCAGGGGTCGATTCCAGATCTCGAGAACGGCTGGACCGATGGCGCTCAAATTTGGTACATGATTAGGAACCGGTTAGTAGGGTGCCGTGCAACAGTCAGTTGGGACCCATTTTGCACGTGCGCACGTGCAGGGTGCCGCTTCCAGATCTCGAGAACGGCTGGGCCGATTGTGCTCAAATTTGGCACATCGCTAGAGACCGGTTAGTAGGGTGCCGTGCACAACTCAGTTGGAGGTACCCCCTCGTAATTTCGCACGTGCAAGGCTCACCCTTTCGCTCGCTCCGTTAGTCGCCCCAAAAGGCGTTATACTGGTAATAAACTCACAATAGTGTAGCAAACCTGTTTGAGGATAGTGGTATATTCTCTCACACTACGCTTTTTTTCTTTTTACTCATTCCGACCGATGGATTATGGGCGGCACGTCATTGAACTGTTAATTATCATCATACGGCAAAAGTCAATCCATCAAAGTAGCTTAAATAGGTATGTGTTGGAACCAAACAAAACGCGTTTGATTAATACTTACTCAAGTCACTAGTCACTAGTTATGGGACCAACTCCCAGCATTTGGTCCGTTCATAGGCGGAGGAACGGGGAGGGCACCGGGGCACCGTGCCCCCTTTGATTTTGGCATTTTAACATGAGCCCTATGGTCGTTGCATGGAAAGAATGGGACCAGAAGTCGACAGTGCCCTCCCGTCCCCCTTAATTGAAGGTGTTCCGCCGCTACTGTTTCGTTGGTTTCGTGATATAGTCTTCGAGACTTTTTATATGCTGTGTCGAGCAATAAATAAATGCACTTACCTTGCTGCCGATGCAAACTAATTTAATTTTAAGAAAATACAGGGGTTATGGTCAGTATTTTTATTAACAAATATTGACCGTTTCATCGACGGGTTATCTGGCGAGTGCACCGAATTTGACCAAATCTGCACCAAATCTTTTTACCGCAAATATCCCCATGCTATGGCCTTATTTCAGTGTTCTAATCGAAAATAATGTCTGATAATTTGAACAACCACACATATAAGCAGCTGCGCATCCAAAGCTGCTAACAACTAAGAAACCCAGTGAATCTAATTTGACCAAATTTGCACCAGATCTGCTAATGTGAACAAAATGTATACCAGATAGCCGTCATGGAAACGGCTATTGATGTTCAAAATGAAGGAATCAGAACACTGACACATCTCACTGTGGCTTGCGGTTAACAGTGTTCACTCAAAGGACCTTTAACTATTAGGCTTACGAACCTATGATTTAAAAATCTCCAAATACCCACAGGAGAAAGAGTGTTCCTACCTACAAACAAACGCAGTGCACCTTCAAGAGGAGGGCAACTAACAACTAACAAGGCGAACTTTTTGTTCATCACTCAACGGGGAACAACTTCCTTCGAAGCAGTTTTGTTTAATCGGAGACTTCTAGATACCGATACGTAGGTCTATGGTTAAATTCGTGCAGCACAAATCAACAAGGGGCGTGTTATACACGGACCATCCTAGTCGACTTCTCCAGCCGATAGCAAAAATTCGGCCATCAACCGTCGCTAGAATCCCGGGAACCCGTTCCCAAAGGTGCGTCGCTGCTGGACGGTTTTTGGATGTTTGCCGATCTCCTCACTCCCGTGAGCACCTGGCCCAAGGTTTGTTCGCTCTGGAGGTCCTACCCCGTGTATACCTGACCACCTCTCGTCCGTTGAGCGGCTGCAGCTCCCTCCAGTTGTTCTGGATGGTCTCGGTGCCGGCCAGGTCAGCCGACAGGCTGGTGCGCAGATCCTCCAGGAACGTGGTCTCCACCGAGACGGGCTGGTCATGCACGATCCAGGTGACCACCGGGCTGCAGGGAGGGGTCGTCAAGCTGCCCTTGTAGCTGTAGAAGCTCTTGAGCGCGGTGCGCAACACTTTCCTCAGCGGGCGCAAGTCGACCTGTCGGGTGATGGAGCTGCCCAGCTGCGACAGCTGCGGCAGGTCGCCGTCCAGACCCAGCGTCGGCAGGGATAGACTGAGCGCCGCGTCGGGCCGCAGCAGCAGGCCCAGCACGGCCAGGCCGTCGGCGTGCTCCAGTGCCGCCGACACGTTGCCGTACCGCCGGTTGAAGAAGACAAAGTGCGCCTCGGCCTGCTCGAAGGCGCCGTTCATCTTGTGCTCGGAGCCGCGGCCGCCGGCCGGGTCGTTCCAGTGTAGATGCAGGTTATCCAGGATGTACTTGCCGCTGATCGGACCGGACTTGGCGCCTTTCAGCTGGACGGCCGGCTGGTCAGAGGCGTCCTGCAGCGTCACTTTGAGCGTGCGGCCCGTGTTGCTGGCCGTGAGTTGGCCGGCCTTCAGTTGTTTGGCGAACCTCAACTTGGGCCGTCCGCCCCAGCCGCGGACCTCGGTCGTCTCCAGACTGACGGGCGACTGGCGGTCTCCGTCACACTCCGGGTACAGCGCCGACCAGCCGCTCTGGTCCGCGAAGCTCCAGTCGGGCTCGGTGACCTCCGCCTGCGCCGTGTCCGGCAGGAGGGCCGTCACCGCGAGCAGCAGCAGCGTCAGCACGGACATGGTGTGGGAGGACTGCAGGGACCGCCTGCCGACGATCTGTGACCTGTGTCGCTGGTGACGACCAGTCGGGTTTTATACTACGAACAGACTCATTCCTGCCATCGAATGCAGATCCGTATTTGCACATGTTTGCCTGCCACTTCTCCGGCCTCCGGCCGGAACTGGCGGATGTACGCACGCTTCACTCAATATAGATCAAACTGATACACTGAAAACGAGACACCCATGCCTTTTCCCAATGTCGGGTCTTATTGTTAAGCAGGAGGTGATGTTTTGAAAAATTATTTCACTCCACAAAGCACTTGGCTAGATTCCTAGATAGTTGCGCAGATAACAAGCCATTCAATGGTGTTTGGTGAGCTGCTCTGCCGTATGCAAGTATCCGCAATGCTCCCGTGCCTTATTTCGTAACCAATATTGTGAATCGGCTTTACATTTTTGTTTTGTTTGGTTCTGCTTTGTGTTTGCTCCCAATTGTAAAGTGAGGTAATCTCCCACGTATAGTGGGGGAGGGGTGGGGGGTCGGATTTTCGTTTACGGCAAGTGGTCGATCGCAACGAAACTTTCCGTGCCCTCAGGATAATCAATTTTATACTTACCCTGAAAATTTAAATACCCTGACCGAAATTGAATTTGACCTGTGACATCTTTCTCGAGACTACGAGTAGGTATGTCAGGCGAGAGTGGCGATTCGGCGTTTGTTAGTCAGTGCACACCACACAGTGCACATTATTCGAGCGTTTCCGAACTTCTTGTGATTAGGTATAAATGTGCCAACATATGAACTGATGTTTGTGCCATGGACTTTTGTGGTTTTCAAAGTAATGTGAAGGACAGGCAAAGATAATTGACCTTGAATGACCTCGGTCGACTTCTTTGAGGGTTATTTTATAACTTTGAATGGTAGTTTTTTGGCTGATTTCGACTTAACACCCAATGGAGCATTTGAAACCTAGTTTTGGTGTCCGTTGCCAAGATGTCAGTGGTGGTTGACATCACTTTTTGGCGGAGCTCATCGCCCCCCCCCCCTCCTCTCCGTCCCCCATACCCGACAATTGCACCCGGAACAAGACTCCACATCTGCGTGCAGCAGGTGACCTTCCTCGAGAGTTCAGTGACCTCTGTGCCCCTCCCCTCCCCCTCCCCCTGGGGACGGAGGTACGATAAGGTCCTTCCTGCAGCGGACCAACCGCTCAGCAGCTGTGGTCCTCTCATGGACCGTCCGCAGCTCTGAGAGTTTACACCCGGGAGGCGTGTTAGAGACGGAGAGCTGTCAGCTGCTGAGAGCGATATCGGTCGTGCACCTTACTGGGGCGAGGGGAGGGGGAGCTGATAGCGGGCCAAGCCCCCAACACGCCTCTCGAAATGACCCCGGACTTTGGCACGTCGTGTTGTTTCGGGTGCTGGAGCGACACAACTTTTGTGCGAGAGTTGAGAGGCCGATGTGTATAAGTTTTTTGTGGGAGGGGATAAGCCGTATGCTTGTTTACCAATCCGTTTGTGATATCTCCTTATTTTATAATGCAATAACACTTGGGGCTAGATTCAAGCGGGTCGATAAGAGAGCTAAGAGAATGTGCTTTTAGTCGGCGTTTTCAGACTTAACGATAAGATCGATAAACTAAAATATCCTCTTCAAAACACTAACCTCGACTTGCAGCATATGCTCCTAGTGAACGGAAAGCAAACCCAACAACGTGGACAATATTCCACTGTGTGCTTACATGGAAACCACCAGTATTTCTCTGTTTTATGGCATATAAAACTGATTTGCGAGGCCTGCACTCTGATCGCGGTCACACTATCAGACACAGTTTCCGCTTCTCGTTTCCGAAGACAGTTCTTTTTGTAGCTGGTCAAATGTGAGCGTCTGCTGCCATAGCAACATTTGCAGCGTGGCCGCCGTCGCGAATCACGATAAACTTTGCAGACGTCTAATGTGACCGAATTAGCAAGTGAAAATGTATTCGGCGAGCCGTTTGAAGACCACTTGATATCGCTGTATGAGCGTAACCATGAGACATTTTCTATGACGTAGAAATGGGTGGAGTATATAACGAAAATGAGGAAAATTTATAGGAAATGGGTGGGTGAGGGTCTTCAAAGCCCCCGCTCATTCCTCCAAATGCACTGGTCTGATTGTGAAAATCCCACATGCTCACACACCAAGTGTTGATCAGGGCTTCATCTCATGACCTATCACCTTCCCCTTCTACAACAATCACCCTGATCGCCCGGTTTGTTCCAGAAATGTCCGGTGGGCCAGCCGGACATGCTGAACGTCCACCTTGTACCACACACGCACGATGATGTGGGCTGGCTGAAAACGGTCGACCAGTACTTCTATGGAGGTGAGATGGCGATGGCTTCGTCACGGTAGCCGGAGTTGTTTTAGTTCAGTTGCTAGGCAAATTGTTTGCGGTTGATGGTTGCTTCAAGACGTTTTTATGGCGAAGTGTTATCGCTAGTGTATTTTGCCGTCTTATTTTCGGTTTCTTCCTCTAGCACTTTGTGGTAGTCGAGTTATTTTTGGTGCTTATGATATGGTCCACTCTTTATGTTTATTTTCCATGGTTTTCGCATTGTCTAGCTCTGAGATGCTCTCAACGTCGGGCGATACCCTTTATATTCTGCTGTTTCTCCTGTTCACCATCGTCCCTCTTCTTTTCCAGCCAAGTCTGAGATTCAGAGGGCTGGAGTGCAGTACATCCTGGACTCTGTCATCTCTGAGCTGGTCAAAGACCCCGAAAAACGGTACGTCGACGTCGATTGCTTTTGTTTTCTTTCTGGACAGAACAACCTCTATATTCGTTTCGAACGTAACGAAAGTTATGACGATAATGATGACGATCACGATGTCGATGATGATGACGACAACGACGAAAGTGACGATGACACTGAAGGTGATGATAATCGAGTTAATCGTAGTTTCTGTCACCCATGTAACCTTTTTTACGCCTCCTTTAGAGCTTGGAAACCGTAAACGCTTTGGGGTAGCCATTTAGTTAGCTCGTCCCTTGGGCGCTACTACTTATCTCGCCATTTTGGAGTCCCGAAGAATTTCACCATTTCCAGCTTCATCTACGTGGAGACGGCCTTCCTGTGGCGCTGGTACCTGCAACAGGACGAGGAGACTATCGCGACGGTGGAGAACCTGGTGAACGAGGGACGCCTGGAGTTTATCGGAGGCGGCTGGAGTATGAACGACGAGGCCTGCGTGCACTACAACGCCGTCATCGACCAGATGTCACTGGGAATGAGGTAGGAGATGTTACAGGACATGTGGGTCGCCATGATGTGGGGATGGGTTGGTCGGTACTTCATGCCAAGGTTAGTGTCATTGAAATACAGAAAAAAAGTATGTGCTATTTCTCCAGCTACATATTGCCATTGGGTGGCTGTCACTTGCTCACTTGCGCCGATTTAAAGAAATATTCGAATGAAAGATATTTGATAATCTTCTTTTATTTAATGCACCTATGCAATCCCCCCAAAAAAATCGAGCCATTTTAAGCGTTCAATTCAATGCTCATATTTATCAAACCCAGCCTCAATTTGTCTAGACTCATTTAAACATTTTACTTATCCAGCGTTTTGGCCAAAACTGTTGGCAACACCATGGTCTTCTGTGTAGAGCCCCTCGTATGCCACTGAAACTTTCCCACCTGCGTGCCGCGAAATAATCATTTCATGAATTAGTGGCGCTGGCAGCGTGTGAAGGGCGTAATCCAGCCAACTCACGTGTCGTAGAACCGTGCACATAACTACCGTACCCGCTAAAGGTCGCTAGAAACGCCTTATCGATCGTAGTTCCCTGCCAAATCCCAGAGTTTGGGCCGGTAACCGAACGGGGCTGTGACGGAATGGCGGTCTCCATGGTGCTGACAACGTGATAGTGAAACATTGAGCAGCGGAACATTTTTTTTACGTGATTTATGCTGACCACTTAGTACATTTGATGGATTTGTCGCTAGGTTGTGACTGAGGGACATACGTCTTTGTGTCGTAATTTGTGGGTTTGTCGTTGTTCACTGCCAGGTTTACTATTGTCGTTGGGAATAAATTCACCGCCAAGTGTCTGGGCGAAATGACACTTTTTATGCGATGAAAATGGAACATAGTGCAGTCATGACTTCCGTATGAGTTACTGTAGGTGTCAATCAAACATAGAGACGTTTTGAGATCAATGGCACACTCGGCTTTGTCAGATTTTGCAGATGAACAACTTGGTCTATGGTTTGATCACGTTCCTAGTCACGAATTCCTCCTAGTGTTTTCTGTGTATAAGGTGAGTAGACAATACCGAATGCGTTACATTTTCGTGATGATAAATTCCGTCAAAATTCCGACGAATTTGACGGTAATGAACTCGATAGGTCGCTATGCTGACAACGAACCGTCGTCATCACTCTGCCATTATAACTCTGTGTATGTGTGCTTTTTAGGACACTGTGCGACCATTTCGGTCCGTGTGGTATTGCCTCGCAGACTTTTAGTCATTATAACTCTGTGTGTTTGTGTGCCATTTTCAGGACGCTGTATGACCATTTCGGTCCGTGCGGTATTCCTCGAGTCGCTTGGCAGATCGATCCCTTCGGACACACCAAAGAACAGGTCAGTGAGAAATTTTGAACATGTGAAATGCACATTGCAAATGCACATATGCTCATAAATCGCCGTCATAATTACACATATGTACATAAGATATCATGACGCTTAATTATGTCTACTTATAGATCGGAAACCAATAACCTACCATATCTTCAACTTGACATTCTACATCTCAGTATCTATTTATTTTTCTCCCTAAAGAGTATTGAACTGTCACTTTTTATCTCGCAAAACAATACATTGTTCCCTCTCTTCCGTCCCCAGGCGAATCTGTTCGCCCAGATGGGCTTCGACGGCTACTTTTTCGGCCGTCTGGACTACGACGACAAGAAGCGTCGTGTGAACGCCAGCGAAATGGAAATGGTCTGGCTGGCCAGCCAGGATCTCGGTCAGTCGGCGCACCGGAGGGGGTTGGGGTGATGGGTGGGGGTGGGGGTCACTGAGAGGGGTGGAGTTAGGGGAGGCATGGGTGCTATAGTCTCTTCCATGTCAAGCTTGCGGCTGAAGTGCCGTGCTGAAAGCATTGCGTGATTTCTGTACATACAGCTTTTACATTCAAATAATTAAGCAAATTACTGAACGAAGCAGCGAACTGCGGAAGAAACTCAGACCGCAAGCTTGACATGGAACAGACTAAAGTTTCTGAAAATCATTAGGAGGGCTCTAACGGTTAGTTATAGAATATTAAAGACATTTTTCCCGTGCAGTGCCATGAGGATAATGTTAACCCGCGCCCGGCTGGGGGTCCTGGATTTCCACGCCCTGCTGGGGGGGGGGGGTGTTTGAACACCCCCTTGTAACTCGGCTCCTGGGCCACGTAACGATACGCGGAAGGCGGCGTTCGAAAGAGCGTCAAAAATAATGACGAAATCACTTCAGTCAATTTTTGGTCAGGTCAAAGGTCAGGTCACCATAGGTCATTGAAGGCAAAATTTCGCCGATTTCCAGGTCGAATGTCGAAAATTTCCAAGAAGCCAACGCATAACTCGGGAACCAATAGAGCTACAGCGCCGCGGAAAAGCGCATTCGATAGCCCTATTAACGCCCTTTCTGAGTAATTCTCTCAGACTTGACCTAACGTCAACGGTTTTGCCTGCAGGGGCAAAAACTGCAAAAATAGCCGATTTTTTCGGAAACAGTTTTTCTGCAATAACTTTTGACCCAAGCCTTGTAAGAGCTTGCTTTTACCGGCATCGTGTTCCTCTCGTCAAGACGCATCGAATGAACTATAATTTGACCTTGAAAGGTCAACTTGAAAATTTGACCTCAGGTCAAGGTCATGACCTGACCGGAAAGGGTCATGTTGCATATCAGTCGATCCGTATCGTCGAGCTGAACACGTCTAAGGCGTTTTCATCGCTCTAGCATGCCTCTATCAAAAGTTATTTGCGAAAAACTGTTAGATACCATTCGTGACCTAAGATGACCTCAGGGCATAAACAAGGGTCACGGACACCATTTTCATGTTCAGTGTGTCTAAACCACTTGTAATTCGGTGTTTCGGAGTGTTTATAATGTCTTTCGTCCAAAAGAGGCGCATTTCAATTTTCCTCCCATTGACTTATAATGGGGAGGTCGCAAAATTGACCTGAGGTCATCGATATCAAAATTCTGAGATATACATTTTGTACATACTATTGCTCTTAGCAATCGCTGAAAGTTTCAAAGTGATCGGTCACTCGATGTAGCTATGACAGACATTGAAACTTTTTATGAGGTGAGGTCACTTCAAGTGACCTGGTGACCTGACCTTGAATGACCTTGGTCTGAAATTTTCACAGCATGTGTAGAATTGATGTATGATGAGGTGTACCAAAAACGGCGGCGCTCCGCGCCGTCGTTTTTGAGATATTTGCGAAAAACCACAGGGGGGTGTTCAACCCCCCCCCCAGCAGGGCGCGGGTTAATAGGGCTATCGAATGCGCTTTTCCGCGGCGCTGTAGCTCTATTGGTTCCCGAGTTATGCGCTGGCTTCTTGGAAATTTTCGACATTCGACCTGGAAATCGGCGAAATTTTGCCTTCAATGACCTCTGGTGACCTGACTTTTGACCTCACCAAAAAATTGACCGAAGTGATTTCGTCATTATTTTTGACGCTCTTTCGAACGCCGCCTTCCGCGTATCGCTACGTGGCCCAGGAGCCGAGTTACAAGGGGGGGGGGTGTTCAAACACCCCCCCCCCCAGCAGGGCGTGGAAATCCAGGACCCCCAGCCGGGCGCGGGTTAAAATGGCCAAATAATTGGCAGGGGTCGGCCTCTATCAGGCCTATTTTAAACGACAACCTTGGAGGATGGTACGCATGGACGGGGTATAGGGGTTATGGTGGGGTTGAAGGGGTGGGGATGTCTGGAGGGGAGGCGTATGGAGTGAGGGCTATAATAGTGGCATGCACTGAGCGCTAATGGGGTCAGCATGCGCCCTGGGAGCCTGGCAGGGCTTTGTAAAGGCGACGTGTAATGGGACATGTAAAAGGTAACATTTATTGGACAGGGCCCTGCCGGTCAGACAGGGTCGCTACTTTGCCCTCTACAGGGAAATTAGCGGGGACAGGTTTCAGGGAACTTTTAGTGCTAACAGTCAAAGGCCTATTTGTTGATTTCTTTCGGTCAGTTGCTTTGACTGGTTGCCATTTACAGGCGTTTAGATAGCTTGCGAGGAAGTTCTGTATTGTCGACTACAGAATGATGTTCCACTCCTCAGAAGCTATCAGTTGACCGGAGCGCTAAGTTGTGCCGCTTATCACGCAATTAAGCGTGTCGATTGTGAGCATTGGGACAAAGCTATAATTTGTGAACTCAGCCCGTGTGATGCGCCACAACCTACCACTTCAGGCAAATAATTGCCTGTGAAAAGTGGAACATCATTCTGTATGTAGTCGACTATACTTGGCTGCATAGGTGTTTGTTGTCGTTTATGACGCTCTTATTCGCCTTTCAATACCTACCAACTGCTATTGGTGTGGTCCATTGGTCTGTTCACAGTTCATTGTTCATTGATCTGTTAAATCAATAATCCAACACTGAAAGCAATGGTCCGTTGAAAGCAATGGTGAACAGTGTAATAGTAGGGTGAGTTGTAAGGTGTTTTTTTTTTATCCGTGAATGTCCCAATCAATCCTGACTGGAGCTGGTCCTCCTCCCAATTGTTCCATGGGTACATTTATCGAAATCTCAGAGGTTTGAAGCTGGCTTTTGGAGGATCCTTCTAACCAACATTGTATATTTGGATGTATCCCAAAGCGAACTTCCCGTTACAATGGGTGATGTAGTGCCTAAGACCTATGTCTGTTATAATATCCAAGTGATATTGCCTTATCCAGTATCGCTGTTGCCACCCATCGACAGAATATAAATCAGGCGATGTGAGCTGTTGCGTCATCCATAAATTCTAGCATCCACTACCAGTAGTTTTATGATGTATATGTCGGGATTTATATCCGCATGTTTCTTTCCCATCAATCTATGGTCTTTTCGCCATAAATTGAATAAGTATGGGTAAGGCGCTCATGGTCTTTCGTCATCACATCTTTGTCGTTTTTTACCTATCATCGAGTAACACAGATAGATCCGACCCGTCATTCTTTGAAAGCCCTCTAATATTAGTTAATAATGGTCGATACTTAGGTTGAAACCAAATCATCGGTCCTCATTTAGGCCTATCACCCGTTCAAGCATGCTTTCCGGTCCTGCAGCTTTGAAACTAAAATATATGTTAACTTGCCCCTCTGTCACAAATGAACTAAATATTCCGGGACCCATGAGGCAAGCCATTTCATCTGCATTGAAACTTGTCTATATTTGCTTGGCTGTGTCCTATAGGACACAGCCTGGGGTATACGACTATGGGTATGCGACTATGGGTATACGACTATGGGTATACCCATAGTCGCGTTGCGGGTGATAATTTACTCCCGTCGTGTTAACTTACACATCGCTGCACTCCTGCTATTGCATACCCCGGACAAGGTGTACCCTCCCTGCTCTAACCACCCTCTCACTCTACCCCTCTCCGCCCTCTCCCCTACCGTTACTAACACCCCCTAACACAGGTTCGGAGCTGTTCACTGGCGTACTACCTAACATGTACCAGCCACCAGCCGGGTTCTGCTTCGATATACTCTGTGATGACGAGCCCATCATGGATGACCGCCGCCTGCATGACTATAATGTGGACCGAAAGGTAGCGCGGTGGTGGACGCATGGCTGATAGGTTACACCTTACCCAGATGATCCCAACGCTCTTTGATCGGCTTGTGCACTAATCTTTTCCATACCACCATTCTTTCTTTAAAACTTTGGTCTATCTCGTCTATCTCTCTCTCTCTCTCTCTCTCTCTCTCTCTCTCCTCTCTCTCTCTCTCTCTCTCTCTCTCTTCTCTCCTCTCTCTCTCT